TAGCACATGAGACAAAATGTATGACCTGTTACGGCTCCAAAGATGTTCCATCCACGCAGCACGCGTAGCTAACATTTAATCTAATACCCTTGCCACTTTTTGACGTCATTCTGTTCCCCCTATACTGCATAGTTGTAAACTATTCATAATTAATTCAATTTTTCCAGTTTAACGATTTAATCCTTCATTGTACCAAACTGCCATAAAATCCATAATCATAAACCATAAACTGACGGACAAAATTTTGAGTTCTTCATGATATCTTACGCTCCAAATTCTATAATTTCTTAGAAGAAGCCGTGTCGATTGGACCGTGTATCAACCAACAATGCCCAATTGGGTACAAATGTATCAATGGCTGGTGTTACCTGGCGTAGCTGTGGCCGCCTTGAACCCATCCGCCATTTCATGTTTATTTTGTTGAAATGTTTATGCTGTTGTTGGTCATCCCTGTGGAACATCATCCTACTTTATCACATGATTATATGACCGTGGGGAATAACTTGTATGTTTTACAGTCACCGTTATTGCCGTAGCAAATATATCAGGATTAGAGAACAAGAATGTTTTCGCAAATTGCAATTGTAAACGAATCAGAATTTGCCGTTGACTGAAATTGTATATGCGCGATTTGAACTATTGACGTGAATCATTAAAATCAAACGAGAGCGGAAATCGATCAGTTTCAATAATCACTTATTCTCTCTGGTGAAGAAGGGATACGAACCAGATTTTGCCTCAAACGTTCTTGATCATGTGCCAGAGTTTTGGCTTCAGCAGAAGGTTACCTTACTGGATCGAAGTCCTTCAGATACTTGGCATAGGCAATTCTTGGCCCTCTGAAGAGTCTTCCGCCAATCGGTTCAGCAAGTAGCAACTCTTTCGTCTTTTTTCTTGACATTATTCGTAAAACAACTGTCATTTCCTATCATGGAGAAGCAATGACTGTTGAACAACGCTCGTTGGACCATCTCCAGAAGCATAAGGCCAACGACCCGTCTAAGAAAGCCCATTTCAGCA